TGTGTGTGCAGAATCATGCCCCAACCTATCTAACATGCTGTAGGACTTAGACCCTAAAATGAGTTTATAAACCTTAGAGCAGAGGGAACCTGATGTATTTTGCTCCTTTCAGCTTCTCAGGTGAAAGGGGCAACCTCAGCCCATGTGGAGCTCTGGTTGTTCTGGTGCATTGTGTGTGTGTCCATGCGGGGAAGCCCAATAGCCAGAGATCTCTGAGTTTGGGTTAGTCCTTTACCTGGGCTTCTTCCAAACACGATGATCTCTGGTGCTTGTGTGCACCGGGCTCTCCACGCACTGGTCTGTCAGATACCATGGAGCATGATGCTCTGGTATCTTCACCCTGCTGTAAGCTTGAGCCCTGATCTGCACATGGACCGATCCATCACACACCGTGCTTCTCCCAGGCACCAGTTCAGGGCTGGCCCCTTCTCCCCCCCTGAGGGCAGGAAGGCGCCAGGCAGGTCCCTCTGGACCAGCCGAGCTCAGGGCTGCGGTTCCTGTGCCCCCAAGCTGTTGGATGCCAATCCCGCTGGAGAAAGCGATCCCGTGTCCTGTTGGAGTGCGGGGGGAGCCCCGGGTGATGGCGAGGGGCCGGGGAGCCGCGGGGTCCGTGCGTGCCTCACGGGGTGTTCTGTGCCGCAGCGGAGCCGGAGGCAGAGGAGCGGTACCGCAGCTCCGTGCGAGGAGCCTCTGTGTGCAGGGGAAGCCTTCGGACCCCCCGCCCCGAGGACGGGGCCGCAGGTGGGTACAGGGGGGTCCCCTGGGGAGGAGGGAGCTGGGTTCTGCGGGCCCCGCTGTGCCCAAGCCGCCCTCCTGGTCCGGTCTAAGCAGGAACGGTGGGGAAGGGTGGAGGGAGCATGGAGCCAGCCCAGGGCTTGGGTGTCCGGGTTCCTGCCTGGTGGCTGCGGGTAACGGGAATCCGCCCGACCTGCCCTCCAGCGGCTTGGGAAAGGCAGAGATTGCAGGCTGCGTCCTCCCGGCAGCGCCTCACTTGCCCTTGGAGATAAATTGGGTCTCTGAGAGCTTACACTGCTGCAGCATCAGCCTCCGAGCATCCACCCCCTGGATGCAATGGGAACAACAGTTCTATCTGGAGCTGGTCAAACCAACGTCACTCGTGCCTTCATGGGGTCCAGATCCCCCTCTCTCCTCATGTGCCCTGCAGAGCCCTGCCTCAGGGACACTGCTGGGGTGGCCGGTGCTGCCTGGGCATCTGCACTGAAAGGATAGGATCTGGGACTCTGCAGCCTGCATGCTGCATGTGGTGACCCCTGTCCAGCACCTACCAGGGAGGCTGAAGGAGAAGGAACCATAAAGGAACACCCAAGGCATGGCAGTGTCTCAGCGTCCTGAGGGTTCTCAGCATAGCACAAAGGCCTGCACGTGTCCTGGATAATTCTCTTGCCCTGAAACACTGCGATGGGAACTCTGTGTTTGGCAGCATCCCCTGTGTGCAGCACTCCTGAGGAACACAGTGACAACAGCATGGTCACAGCACTGCTCTGGTGCGAGGATTTACAGGCACCTTCAAACCTATCACTTGGGTGGACTGAGAGAGGAAGAAAGAGAACCTGGAGAGGTGAAGGGCAAGGCACAGGAGGACTCTTGCTCCATCACACTTGTTTTACAGCACACATGATGCTTCACTGCGGGGTGACTCCTGCTGCCACGCAGGGGAGCTGCAGTGGGACATTCCCTGTTTCACACAGCCCATGCACGGGGCCATCACCTGCCCTGCATCAATCCCTTGGGATCCCCAGACCCGGCAGCTTCAGGTGCTTCACCATGTGCCGGGTCCCAGGAGGAGATGGGGGAACCTTGATGGGTCAGGAGCACCGGAGGGCACAGGCAGAGGGGGGTCCCTCACTGGTTTGTCTCTTCCTTCTCTTCCCCGCAGGCCAGAGTGACACCGTGGAGGTCCCGGTTCGGCTGATCCCTGGGGAGAGACAGGCTGGAGACGGCACATCCCTGCCGGAGACACCCAACCCCAAAATGGTGCGATGCCCTTGGCCGACCTGTGCGGGACGGCCGCGTTCACAGCATCAGCAGTTTGACCCCTTTAGTGCTAATGCAGGAAAGCAGAGAAAAGGGAATGGGAAAGGATGTGCCCATGTAAATACCTGCTGGTGGCTGCAGCATCCCTGCATCAGAGCTCACCTCTGAGATCACTTCCTGGGCAATTAGACAGCTTTAACTGGTGTCTGTCAGCATGCTCCTGCTGCCTTGTGAGGCTCTCGGGGAATAGCCTTGGGCTGGGTATTACAGAGCTGGGGGTCCTCTGTGGCTGTCCTGTCCCCATCGCAGGTCTCTGGGGTCTCCACAAGCCCTGTATTGATTCAGGCACCAACAGCAGCTCTCTGCCTGGTTTGCAGATGTCGGCCGTCTACGCAGAGCTGGAAAACCGCCTGCTCAGCAGCTTTGCTGGCAAGATGGGGAGCACTGCCCGGCACAGAGCATCACCTCCTGCCCCGGAGCTGCCACGCGCTACGGGTAAGCATCAGCTCCCCATGGAGACAGGCAGTGCTGGGGGGCTCAGCAGCGGGGGCTTGCAGCTTCCCCTCGGTGCTGTTATAACGAAGCAGTGATGGTGCCAGGCGCAGCTGCACCTGCAGGGCCCCTCAGCACTGCTCTGCCCCGCAGGCTCTCGCAAGTCAGTGATCTCCTGGCCCAGCGACCCGGCATCGTCCCAGCAGTGCTACTACCGCCTGCACAGCAGCGTGGCCTCCCCGAGCAGCACCGAGTCCAACCCCTACGTCAGCCTCGACAGCAGCCCGGCCCCATCGCCCCGGCACCGGGACTACGCGCCCAGCCCTCTGTCGCGACGGAAGAAGCTCTTCACCTTCTCCAGGCCCCCGCGGAGCCGCGACACCGACCGCTTCCTGGATGCCCTCAGCGAGCAGCTGGGGCACCGGGTCACCATCGTGGATGATTTCCTCACCCCTGAGAATGACTACGAGGAGGTGAGTGTGGCGCAGGGGTGGTTCGGTGATGGTCTTTGCCCTGGTTGCGGAGCCACCCAAGGGCAGCCCGCACTGGGATGGATGCACAGGCTGGGGGCTCTGTGGATGGCAGAGGGAGGGATGCTCAGCACAGGGCAGGACCCCGGCGAGGTCCCACCTTCATCCTCTGCTCTCTCCATCACCAGATGAGTTTCCACGATGACCAGGGCAGCTACGTCACCAACGACGTCAGCAGCAGCGAGTACATCAGCAGCAGCGACGAGGGCAGCTCCCTCACCTACTCCACGCTGTCGGACCACATCCCCCCGCCGCCGCTCAGCCCCCCCCCTCCGCCGCCCCCCCTGCAGTTCCATGACCCCCAGGCTGTCCCCGCCAAGGCCGAGCCCACAAAGACGGTGCCAGCGCCGGCCCCCAAGTCCCTGCTGAGCCACCTGCAGCCCATCCCGCCCCCCCCGCCGCCGCCGCCGCCCCCCCCGGTGCCCTGCGCGCCCCCCCTGCACCGCGGGCTCCTGCACCGCCGCAGCGAGTCCAACCACATGAGCGTCAAGAGGCTGCGGTGGGAGCAGGTCGAGAACTCGGAAGGGACCATCTGGGGGCAGGTATGGATGTGGGTGAGGGTCCATGTGGGATGGGGAAGGGCTCCTGTGCTGAGGCCGTGCAGGTCATCGGGAGCATCCCTGAGCACTGCCCAGAGCATGGAATCAGGGAATGGTTTGGGTTAAAGGGACCTTAAAGCTCCTCCAGCTCCAACCCCTGCCACGGGCAGGGACCCCTTCCACTGGAGCAGCTTGCTCCAAGCCCCTGTGTCCAACCTGGCCTTGAGCACTGCCAGGGATGGGGCAGCCACAGCTTCTCTGGGCACCCTGTGCCAGCGCCTCAGCACCCTCACAGGGAAGAGCTTCTGCCTAAGAGCTCAGCTCAGTCTCCCCTCTGGCAGGTTCAAGCCATTCCCCTTGGCCCGTCCCTAATATGAGTGGCAGCGACTGGACCTGGATGAGCTTTAAGATCCCTTCCAACCCAAACATACCTTGATGCTGTTTCTTCTCCACATTGGAATTGTTTGGACCCACCTGCGGTGATGGCGTCCCAAGGGAGGAGCAGCAGGGAGGGCTCTGTGGCTCTGTTAAAGCTGAATGAACCCGCAGGCTGCAGCCGCGAGGGCACGCTCCTGGGGTGCATCTCCGGGTTTATTCCTCTCTTCTGAGAGCAGATCGGGTCCCACCTCCTGGGTTTGGTGACTCCTGCGGAAGCCACCTCCATGGAGGTGACCGGTTCATCGGCTCTGGTTTCTGCCCAGGGTTTGCGATGGCCGAGTCTCCAGTGCCACCAACCTGGCCTGGGCTCCTTAGGGACATGGAGCTCAGCTGGGGCAGAGGGAAGGTGGCCACTGGGTGCCAATGGGCAGTGCCGGGTGTTGCTGCAGCTCCTGACTCTCCCTCCTCCTGCAGCTCGGGGAGGACTCTGACTACGACAAGCTCAGCGACATGGTCAAATACCTCGACCTGGAGCTGCACTTCGGGACGCAGAAGCCTACAAGTAAGTACCTGAGCCCCAGAACAGGTCCTGGTACTGGGGCACTGGGAGGAACTGGGGGGCCGAGGGGCAGTGTCTGGTCCCAACATCACCCAGCACAGCCTTTGCTCATGCTCAGCACTGTGCGGCTCAGCAGGTCATTAAGGGGGAGATTGTTTCCCCGTGTCCCTTAATGTCCCTGGCCGCTGTCCCTGTGTTCCCCCCATGTTTCAGTTGGTTGGGGCAGGAAGCTCAGCTGAGTTTCTCTCCCCGTGCTGCTTCCCGGCTCTCACAGCAGCATCACCATTGCAGTGCCCCCACACCACTCCAACCTGCCCCATGTAGTAAGGAGCTGTGCACAGCCTCTGCTTGCCGTGGGGTGTGCAGTGGGGACAGCCAGCGCCGTGCACGGCCCTGCGGGAATGGCTGCAGTTGGGAAGGGAGTTGGAGCGTTGGGAACTCAGCCCTGAGAAAGCCACAAGAACATTTCTGTGTCCATAAGGAGCGTTACAAACACCACTTCTCTTGTTGCATATACAACATGCTAGCTCCCCACAAGACCTATGTATGGGGTCTGCAGCTACTGCACGTCTCCCCTCTTGCTCTTGAATAGGGGTCTCCTGCAGACCCATGGACTGAGGCATTCAGGGTGCAAGCAGAGAGCTCCTGTCGCCCACAGTATTCCCAAAGGGATCCATGGGGCAGCATGGCTGCCTCATTTACACTGGGAAAAGCAAAATGCCAATGGGATGGCTGAGCTCTGCCGCAAGGGACGAGATACATGATGGCAGCATGGGCAGAGCTAAGCCAGAACAGGCAGATACAGCTGGGACCGGCAGTGGCATGAAATGGGATGCATCCATTTGGGGCTGTTTCTGGGCAGTCTGGGGTTTTCTGTGTGTCTCACCTCTCGTTTTGCCTTTTCCAGCTCCAGCTGAGTCCTCCATTGAGGAGATCTTTGAATCGCTGAATTCAAGGACTCCCGGAGCCATTGCTGTGTGCAAAGCATCCGTTGTGTCACTCATGGTTTCCCTGTTTTCAGGGCAGTTTTCTTCCCGCTGGAGCCGGCTGAGCCTGTCCTTACCCATGATTAAATCTCTCAGTTTCTCTTCCAGAGCCAACTCTCATGCCTGAGAACTTTAAAAAGAAAGACGTGGTTGAGATTTTGTCCCACAAAAAGGCCTACAACACATGTGAGTAAAGGCCAGGGTGAACCCAGCCCGAAACGGGCCCAGAGATGTAGAGAACTGGAAAGGTAAAAGGAAGGAGGCCACATGAGCACAATCCCATGGGCACAATCCCCGCACAGCTCAGCTGCTCTGGGCTCTTTCTGCATCCTCCAGGCTGGGCTCAGCCCTTGGCAGGGGGAAGAAGCAGCGTTTACAACAAGGGATGGAGATGGGATGTGGCTCATTGGCCTCGGGGGGCAGAGGGACAGAGCCTGCATGGTCCCATGGAGCAGTGAGGGTGTGCAAGGGGCAGGGCTGCTTCTCCAGGATGTGCTTCTGATGTAAAGGAGCATGGAAGGGCTTGGGGGGACCCTGTGAGACCCAGGTCTCCTGTCCATGAGGGATGTGGGAGAGGAGGAGACACGGGAGGTGGCTTCCATAGCAACCCAGCCTGATGCATTGGGGATGTGCATGCACAGGATGCAATGCCCTGGGCAAGGGGGGGTGGTGTGCGTGTGTCTGCAGGACCAGAGCAACTCCTCAGGGTCCCCATGCGGCCTCTGCAGGGCCCTGGGGAGTGGGAAGCCCTTCTTCTCCCTAGGGATTACCCCATGCCACTGCGGGCACATGGAGCGGTCCACACCATTCACACCTTGAGCATCCCCATGCTGCTGGGCAGCCTGTCCCCAGCACAGCCATCCCCAGGGGGGTCCTGTCCTCCTCTGCTCCAAGTGACATCCCTCCCTTCCCACAGCCATCCTCATAGCCCACCTCAAGCTGTCGCACATGGAGCTGCGCCAGATCCTCATGACGATGGAGACGGACCGGCTGGAGCCCTCCCACATCAAGCAGCTCCTGCTGTACGCGCCCGATGGGGAGGAAGTGCAGCGCTTCCAGAGCTACAAGGAGAACCCTGGGAAGCTGAGTGAGCCCGACCAGTTTGTGCTGCAGGTACCTGCGGGCAGGGATGTGCTCCAGGGGTGTCCCTCTGAGGCTGGAGGGAAGGAAAGCACAGAGCAATCAGCAGGATGCTCCTGCATGCTGTGGGATGGGCAGAGCTGGTGGCACCGGTCACAGGGACCGCTGGGCACTGATGCTCAGGCCTTGGCATCCAGCAGCTCCCACTGCCGAAGCATCCCTTGATGTTTGCTCCACGACAGGAGTGACTTTGCCCAGCTCCTGGTGACAAAGTCACTTGTGGATATTGGCATGCAATGTCCCCATCCTGTGGCAGCAAACTGGCTGTGCCCTGCGAGTTCCAGCCACTGTCAGGCTGCTCCATGTGGTTGCCTGTGCATGCTGCTCCCATGTACTGGGAAACATCCCAGGAGAAACACGATACAGTAGGGTTAAGGCTGGTGGGGACAGTGGCAACTCTCCCCTCCTTTTGATCCCAGATGCTGTCAGTCCCGGAGTACAAGATCCGCCTGCGCAGCCTGCACTTCAAGACCACTCTGCAGGAGAAGACAGAGGAGATCAAGGCGAGCTACGAGTGCATCTGCAAGGCCTCTCTGGAGCTGAAGAGCAGCAAGAAGCTGGCCAAGATCCTGGAGGTCAGCACAGTCCCTCCTGCTGCTGTCAGCCACCGGTGTCCATGGGATGCCTGCAGGAGCCTGGGCAGCGCAGGCACAGCTCCAGCCCCAGTGCTGTGCCCAGCACCTCTCCCCATGCAGCTCGAGCAGCTTGCAGGAGAGAGCAGATCCTGCTGCAGGGCTCCTTGACCCCACTGCCATCAGCTGCCCCACACTGATGTTCAGTGGGGGTTTGAAAGCAGCAGGTGGCATAAATGAGTTCCAAATGTGACAAAGGCATTTCCAGATTAGTGGCACCTGGGCAGTAACCCCCAGCACCAAGTCAACAGGGGGCAATGGCTGGTTGCACATTAATGGAAGGTGAACAGAGAGCCCCAGCCTGAAACCCCGATGGTCCTGAGGTCCCTGCTCCTTGCCAGGCCCCAGGAGGGATGCTGGGACTCGGGTGAGCCCACCCTGGGGTCCTGATGTGCCTCCAAGGCTGTGAAGCTGCAGCAGAAGGAACTGGAGTGTTCTGGAGGGGAAAGCTGGCTCTGCTGGTCACTGTTCCCTCTGAAACACCCCCTTACAGATAAAAGTCACAACAGGCTTTGGGGAGAAGAGAGCTTTGGCATGTGCCAGTGTGTACAGACCCAGCAGGAATTCTGCCTTCACATGTATCCATGCACCCAGTCTAACCCATTGAATGCACTGGTGATGTTTTCTTACTGATGCTCTAAGAACGCACCTAGGGGCCCCTTGGCAGAAGTGACCTGGCACAGAAGAAGCCCTGTAGACAGAGGGTGGCTTCTTAGCTCTGCTCCTACCACATCACTTGTAGGTCTCTGTGACCCAGAAGGAGAAGGGACAATGTAAGTGCTGGAGGTCACTGCCCAGTCTCTCACTGGGGTTTCTCCCTGCAGTTTGTGCTGGCGATGGGGAACTACCTGAACAACGGGCAGCCCAGGACCAGCAAAACCACGGGCTTCAAAATCAACTTTCTCACTGAGGTAGGACAATGCCTGCCTGCTCTGTACAGGAGGCACCAGTGCTGGGAGCTCCAAGTGCCTGTCCCTGCACAAGGGTCCCGGATTGACGTGCAGGGTGGGCTCCAGGGAGGCCGTACCAGTGCTCTGATGCTTCAGGGTGCTGGGGCCTGAGACCCGTGCTTGCTGAGAGGCTGTGGGGTTGGGGAAATCAAAGGTCTTCATCCCACGTGGGCTGCTGTGGAGGATGGGGTGAGAGCATCGATTAGCACCTCGCCTCCACTCCTCTGGGTGTAACGTGCTGTCTAAACATTAAACGTCCTCTTTAACCATTAATCCACGTATCATGGCTGGTATCGCCACGCACGTGAAGGCGGGGTGAGCTGAGAGAACAGAGGAGCCCCTGTGTGACCGGTGACCGACACACTGAGCGCATGGCAAACCCCACTCTCCTCTGCATAGGGACCTCCTGACCTGTTTTGCTTTGCTGCAGCTGAACACGACCAAGACCGTTGATGGGAAATCCACCTTCCTGCACATCCTTGCCAAGTCACTCAGCCAACACTTCCCAGAGCTCCTGGGCTTCGCCAAGGATCTTCCCACAGTGCCGCTCGCTGCCAAAGGTAAAGGGATGAAAGCACCTGTGAGCTCTGTGCCTTGGTTCTGGTTGGGTCTGGAATCAGTCGTGAGCTGCACAGCATTGGCACGAGCAGGATGGCAGCGAAATGAGTGAGGAACGGTCCTGAGTGGGAGGATGGGGTTAGGAAGGGATGAGCTCAGTGACAGGGGAGGTCCCATCCACCCCGTGCTGCCGCACATGGCAGTGCCTCGGCAGTGCTCTGTGCCCTGACCTCAGCCTCCTGACCTGGAGCAGCGGTTCCCAAGTCCAGAGGTGTCCGTGCAGCAGAGGGAAGGGCCGGGAGCTGCTCTGCTCCACCCAGCCCCTGCCTCCTTCCATCCCCGGTGCTACTGATGCAGGTGGTGCAGAGCGCACAGCACCCTCGTGGCTGGGTTCAGCATCCAGGAACAGCTATGGCACTGCTGAGCATCGTCCCGCTTCCCTGCCTGCCGTAGACAAGTCACATAGCTGCTGGGCATCACCCATCCACTGAGGTGGGGTCACAGCAGGCTGGCTGCACACAGAGCAGAGCCTGCATCCTCCTTGCAACCCATCCCCTGCTGTCTGTGAGCAATTCCCTTGGGAATTAGTGGGTAAATAAAGGAGGAAATGCAGGCCCAGGGATGGCAATTCCCCCTTGAAAGTCTGTACCTGTAGCTTTCCAGCTGGGTTTTGTATCTGCCCCAACTGCTCTGTCACTGAAGGCTCACTGCTGCCCAAACTGCTGCCACTTTATACCCAGTGTCAGACCTTGTCTCACCCATGGCTCTCACTGTGCTGCAGGAAGCCAGCCCTAAGCCTCCTAACGCTGACCCCTCTCTTCCCATGCAGTGAATCAGAGAACGCTCACAGCTGACCTAAAGGACCTGCACACCACTGTCAGTGACATACAGATGGCCTGTCACAACATGCCAGCTACCGCAGAGGACAGGTTTGCTGTTGTGATGGCCGTATCCTTCTGTGAATGGGACACATCACTGAGGTGACTTCACTGCCTCCAGGGAAACCATTCGGTGTCTTTGTGCCCCCTTGGGCAGCAGCGGGGCTGTGTCCTGCTATAGGAAAGCATCATCTCAGCACTTGGGGAATCATCCCTCTCCACTCAGTGTGGGAAACAGCTTTGGTGATGGTCACTGGTTCCCCTGCCTCTGCAGGGCAAACCCACGAGGCCAGCGAGCTTGCTGAGCTGCTCATCCTTCCACACTGGCCCAGAGAAGCTGTGGCTGCCCCATCCCTGGCAGTGCTCAAGGCCAGGTTGGACACAGGGGCTTGGAGCAAGCTGCTCCAGTGGAAGGGGTCCCTGCCCTTGGCAGGGGTTGGAGCTGGAGGAGCTTTAAGGCCCCTTCCAACACAAACCTAAGGTTCTGTAAGCGCTGCTGGGGAAGCTGAGCGCGCCAGTGGGCCCCCTTTGCAGCCAGCATCTGCAGCAGCTCCTTTCTTAGACCCAAGATGAAACCCAGCCACTTGATGAGCAGAAGCGACTCTGACCTGTACCAGGCTGTTTGTCCTTAAGCCGCTTCCCTCAGTCCTTCCTGGAGAGTGCCCAGCCTGCCATGCGATCCCTGGACGACCTGCAGCACAAGGCCATGGAGGAGTTCAGCAAGGTGCTCTCCTTCTTCGGGGAGGACTCCAAAATGACAACTTCTGAGGCTTTCTTTGGCATTTTTGCAGAATTCATGAGCAAGTTTGAGGTGAGCTCTGCTTGCAAGGGCAGCCGGCGAGGGGGTCCTGTTAAACATCAGTGTTTTACCTGCACGTGAGCCGTGGGAGCCAGATGAGGGCTTTGTGTCTGTGAAGTGCCAGGTTTCGGTGTACAGGTTGGTTGGGGGGTGCAGGAGGGTTGAGGGTCACCAGCCCCACGGGGAGTCAAGCAGATTGTCATGGTCCAACCTTCTTGGTTAACAAAGGCTGGGTTGGAGCTCCACAAAGCAGACACAGAGTGACCAGTGCAGTGGGAAGCAGGGGTAGAATTAAGCCTGTAGTGGCCAGGGCATCCCTGGCCCGTGCCCATCTCCTCTCTCTGCTCTCTCTGCAGCGGGCACTCAGTGACGTGCAGGTCGGCGAGAGCCAGCGCAGCCCCCGGATGACGTCCCCCCTGGCCTGGTGATGGGCAGCATCCCAGGAGCCGCAGTGCTCATTGCCAACCAAGTGCAATTTGCTCCCGTTGAGGCCGGTTGTACACCCGCTGCTGCCGCCTGCTCCCACCCAGCACAACAGGGACCGGGGCTGGGGGCAGTCGGGATGCTGAAAGGGCACCAGAGGGGGTGGTGGATGGGTGCGGGGGTGAGGCACGGGGACATGAAGGTGAGCACCTCACTGGTCTTGACAAGAGCTTTCCTGGCGTCCTCCATTCCCAGCTCATCCCAGGATTTAGACACCCCTGGGTAAAGCCCCACTCTCGTGTTCCCAGAGCATGCCATTGCCGGCCGGTGGCAATGGGATGCAACACAACCTTCAGAACCCTTCTGGAAGGTCAGTGCGGTCCCAGATGTGATCCAGTCTGGCTCTGCCCAGCTGTGTTGGAGTAAGGGAAGGCCAGAGTCCTTCCTGGCCATCAGCTTTGCTTGAAGGTGTGGTAGAGACTGGCAGGTCTTGGAATCATCCCAAGAGTTTAACCAGCATCACTATAGGCTTATTGGAACCCACCAGGAGACACAAATCCCTGAGCATTCTGGTGCCACAGGGATACAGACCAGTGAGAAATAGATCCCTGTCCTATATTTGCTCCCAAGGGCTGGAATCCCAAGAGCCCTTTCGTGTATGGCCGCTTGTTCATGCTGAGTGCACCCAGGGAACTCAGAGTGTGCAGGTCCAACCTTCCAACAATGTCTGCTTGTTGTTTAGATGCGGTGTCCCTGGGATGGAAGGGAAGCAGCATCCCCTGCTCAGTGCATGCCCCTCGGGGTGACACGGTGCCCCCAGAGCTTGCCAGCAGCCACGCTCCAGTGCATTCACACTGGGAAGCATCACTCCGTGCAACCCGCATCCATTGCCTTTCAGACCCCACTCGCTCCAACATCTTGCCCAGTGGAAGACATAGCATAGGGAACCTTCCTCCCATCTATTGCCAGAGCCAGAGCTCCTCCTGCAGCCCCTGCTCGAGCGCAGGATCACCATCTGGTGCATTACTTAGTGGGGACCTGATGCCCATCAAATCTGGGGGGGTCGCTCTGGTTTTAAGCCCTGCTCTAGGGAGTGAAGTGCATTTCCACAAGTGTTCTCAGCTCACACAGCTTGAAGTGCCAGGTAGCTTCTAGTGTTGACCAGCCCTCAGGGCAACGCTGCCCCAGCTCCACGTGTCTGGGATGCTGCACACTGCATCCAGTTCATTTTGGTTCATTTTTCTAACCGCATATTCAATGTTGAAACCACCCGAGGTTCTTTTCCCTCGCAAAGGTGAAAGCGCTGTACATAGGTTTTGCTACGTGTTGTACCTCTCCAGGATGGCTAGAACTCCAACCCCTTTGGTATTTTTATGGGAATATTTTCAAAGAACCAGAACTTCTGACTTACAGTTGTATTCTTTGATAACGGGACTTGTGTCTAGTCACAGCTCAGCCTCTCCCCATGCCTTTGTGCTGGTCCTGAAATAAAGCTGCTGCCTTCTGCCTCCTGATGGCATGAACCTCGGTGTTGTGTCACACACTGCGCGTGTGGTGGCTGCAGGTGCGGTCCTGCACCATGCACTGCTGTGACCGCTCACCCCTCCAGGAGGGAGCTGCAGGATCCGACCTTGCTGGGCTCGACAGCGGCACGAGCACAACCAGCCCTGCGTGCGCACCAGCAGCCAGGTTCATGGGCTGGGGGTGAGCAGCACATTCCTGGCATAGCGTGGAGTATTCCTGCAGCCTGCAGGAGAAAGCACTGAGAGAGGGGATGAGCAGGGGTTGTTTCCCTCTGCGAAGGAATTCCTGGCTGAGGCTGGGTTTATGTCCCCAGAGGGGTTTATCTCCTTTACACTAAAGCAGATAGGGGCCGGCTGCTATCAGCTTTCTGGTTGTAGTTTGGCTTGTTTAGAGCAGGCTGCTCCGTCCTCCCTGGAGGCCACAGCACCGGCAACTGTAAAAGAGCTCTGAGCAGAGCTAACTGAGACGTGACAGGTAGAAATCCCTTGCTGGGCCTGTGCATTTACAGTGCTCAGGCCCCTCCTGATGCTCCTGGCTCAGCCAGCATGGCTTTTCTGCAGCCCTGGGGATAACCATGGAACCCCAGCATGGTTTAGGTTGAAGGGACCTTAAAGCTTCTCCAGCTCCAACCCCTGCCACAGGCAGGGACCCCTTCCACTGGAGCAGCTTGCTCCAAGCCCCTGTGTCCAACCTGGCCTTGAACACTGCCAGGGATGGGGCAGCCACAGCTTCTCTGGGCACCCTGTGCCAGCGCCTCAGCACCCTCACAGGGAAGAGCTTCTGCCTAAGAGCTCAGCTCAGTCTCCCCTCGGGCAGGTTCAAACCATTCCCCTTGGCCTGCCCCTATGTGCCCACTTACAAAGCCCCTCTCCAGCTTTCTTGTACCACTGAAAGGCTCCCAAGCTGCCCACTGCAGATGCGAAACCTCCCACACCCGTTGCAGAACAGATCCCAGGGCCCCCCTCGCAGTCAGCATCACCCTTCACACGCTGCCTTTGCTGCTTCTTGGTAACTGCAAACAGGAGGGCATTTCTCCCCAGAACCAGTGCCCTGGCACTGTCCTCACAGCCCCGGCTCAACAGAGCCCCTGCGTCAGCCCCGGTCACGGGATCCTCGGCACAGGAAAGCCTGTCCTTGGGAAGGAAACAATAAGTGAGGCAGCAACCCAGGGTCAGGCAGGGAATGCAGGCTCCGGCTCCATGGGTGCCGCTTCCCCCTGTGCCAGAGCCGGGAGCAGTGACCTGAGCACCCCGGTTACATCCCAAACCTCGCAGTATTTGAGGGGTTTCACTCTTCCCTGCAAGAAATGGGGGGGTGAAAGACCTCAAATAGGAAATGAGCAGCTTTAGGAAAGCCACGGTGAAGGCACGAAGCAGCTGTAGCTGGGGTAAACCAGCACGAGGCTGGCATCTCCAAGCCAAAGTGCAACCACTTTGAACCCTCTCTCTAAGTATCTTGATAATGGTTCGAAGGGCCACTACCTATAATGATTTTCCAGGTGCCATAAAAGATGCCAAAGAGACAAACTGAGGTGTCAGCTCCAGAATGGAAAGGCTGGAAGTCAGGATAAAGTGGCACAGACTGGGAGCCAGCACGGGGCACCTGACTGCTGGGTCCCCAATGCAATTTAGGGAAATCGGGGTTTTCCAAGTTCCAGCAGATCAAATGAAAGCATCTCCAATCACAAGGTTCAAAGACCTTTAGCTCTGTTCATCTGCACTATAAGCCAAAAGTGAAACAAGGGGATAAAATACACACACCAAGGCTTTGCTTTCTGTTATTATAGAGCCTGGGGAGCCCTTTTCTAGTTAACAAACTCGCTTCTATTATCAATGTCAAGAATTGCCTGTAGGTGTTTATCAGGTTTTCAGAGCGATGATGCTGAAGCCGAAACCTCCAGCCTGGTGCTGGGATGGAGTGGGAGCAAGCGACAAACCCCATCCATGCCATGGGTGGATTCTGCTCTCTGCGAGGCTCGGGCACTCTCGCTGTCAGCTCCCCCCCGTGCCATGCCGCGGGCTGTCAGCTCGGGAGGACATCAGCGTGGCTGGGTTATTGTTGCCTGTCCCTTCTCTGGCTGTGCAGATTGCTTAAGAGAAAGGCACTCTGTGGAGTTTGACCCGTGAGCCCTGAGAGTGAAAATAACGCGCGGCTCCTCACCAGAGCCACGGGACACCGAGAGACGGACTCCGGGCCAGTGGTTTAACTTTGACTATCGCTAGTCCTCCTCGTTCCTTGGGACACCGTTAACGGCTCCGCTGGCAAATCCCGACCCTCTGGCAATATTTAAGCTGCCTGTCAGTTGGCAGAGGCTCGGTGGTGCCTGGTGCAGGGGACAGAATGAGACCCGGCTGAGCGCAGTAAGTTCCCTTTCAGCTTGTACCTCGAGTCGGGGAGCTGCGGTCGGTGCGAGGGTTGGGGGCCGTGGTCCAGCGCTGTGTCCTCAGGAGGATGGATGTACCTGGGGATGCTTTAACCCCCCCACCTCGAGGAGGCATTTCCAGTGGTCCCGGTGGGTCCCTCGAGCCCCACGTGGGCTGCGCCTCTCCCAGCACCATTGATAGAGGGCTGGCTTCAGCCGCTTCATTTCCATGCCACGGATGTCCCTGCCGCGCGGTCTCTGGCGGGGACAGCGCTGCCGCCGGTGCCAGGAGCCGAGGGCACCGAGCCGTGAGCTGCATGCACAAAGCAGGCAAAATTTCCACTGGGCCGTGCAGTTGGGATGTGAAAGCAGAGCGACCGCGCTGCCCCTTCCCCAGGGCCTGCCAGCTCCAGCTGCCCCAATGGGGCACTGGCTCTCAGCTCCGGGATGCCCCTGGAGCATCCCCCACCTTCCACCACTGATGGGCACCGCTAATGCCTGCAGAGCTCTGAATTCACATGTGTTTTGGAGGGATGGACACAACTCTCTCCTATATGTGGGCTGGATCCTGACTGGGACTGAGCGTGGGTATCCTATAGCGCGGTCTGCACTGCCGTGCTACCCACCTGGGATGGGAAGTGTCTTGGGATGGAAAGAAACAGCACTATCAGAGCTGAGAAAGGGAAAGCAGGAGGTGTCAGCATGGGGTCAGCAGCATCCTGGGGCTGACATACCAAACCCTGTTTGTCTTTTCCTTGTTAGAGGTTAAGCGTGCCAGTAAAAACTCAGTGACAGCCAAGACATATTGCCTCTTAAAGAGGTAAGACTGAGCTTCAGTGCCCTGCATCCTTGCCAGGCAGAAGCTCCCAAGGAATTCAGTGGGATCTGGGGGCTCTATGAGGCACAGAACAGGCCCTGATAAGGTGCTGCGAGTCCCCAGTCCCAGCCTGGTGCTGCTACCACTGCCACTCAACCCCAACATGGCTCAGCACCATATCGAGCTCTGGTACTGGAGGCTGCTGCTGTGGAAAGTGGGTGAGGAGATGGTGTCAACCACCAGAAGACTCCTTATTTATTGCCCAGCCTCTCCATAAGTGCACAGGCCCACAGCCCCAGTGCTGCAGGACTGGGTGTAATGGGCACACAGGGCAAGGTTTGCCCTCCGGATACTGCCCAGCGGGAGAAACCGCAGCATCTCCATCACCACCGCACCTGCACCTCCATCCTCTTGCCTTCACTCACAGCCCTTGGCGACGGGTGCAGGACAGCGGTGGTTTCACCTCATCTCACGGGGAGCTCAGGGCAGGTTCCAGCTGCAGCTCCCACAGGGACAATGCGGTGAAGCCGGTTGTGACCGAGGGACAGGGTGGCTGAGGCTGCTCGGGTCCGTGCTCCGCTGCACGATGGTGCTCGGAGGAAGAACTCGTTCGACCGCCTGCTCTGTGCTGGTCCATGCGGGAGCCCCGGGCTGCTGAAGGCCACCCCTCGCCCCACCTTTAGGCAGGGGGGAGCTTATAAATGTGGCTTCACAAGTGCAAGAGAGGCCGAGGGAGCTGGGCAGCCACAGGCAGGAGGAGGCCGGGTCCCTCCGGACCATGCAACCCACTCTTTAACAGATACATGCATCGAGGCAGAGAAGCACCGGGCCTGCAGAGGAAGCCATGGAGACCACCAGCAGCACCCCTGTGACCCCCCCGTGGGACGTGTTCCCCCAGAGGACACTGGAAGCCGTGGACATCGCTGTCCTTGTGCTGTACTTCGTGTTCGTCCTCGCGGTTGGGCTGTGGGTAAGCAGATAGCACTGAGAGCCTTCCTATGCGCCCTGTTCTACCAAAGACCAGGGCTGCTTTGGCCCCAAAGTCTTTCACTTTGGCTTGAATGAGGCAGCGCTCCACTGGGTTCAAGTCAACAAGCAGAAAGATAAGAGTCTACAGGTCCTTTTCCTCTCTCCAGCCTGGGGAAGGGTGCTCAGTGCTGCAGGAGAGCTGTTCAGCTCTAGTGTTTGCCAAGCTTTAAGAACCCTTGTCAGGAAGAGGTTGTTTAAGTATGAAGTATTGCTAAGAATCATGGTTTGTTCATCCCGGAAGGAACTGCTGTCCTATAAATCACCTGAGCCTGTCCACAGTGGTCTAGACTGCAGAGTCCATAAATTACAAATGCTGTTTGGTTATAATTAAGGCAGAAGGACATCCTTTTGGCATGGCTTCTGTAACAGCAGAAGCACAATGTGGCTGTCATAAGGCAGAGATGAATAGCTGCTCCCTTCCAATGTGGTGATAACGCTGCTGGTGTTGCATGAAACTGCCTGAAATCCCTGAGGAAGAGCAGTCAGTAATACGTGCAATGCTGAGCATTGCTCCGGGTCAGACCCAATGCCTAGGGATGCCCATAGCTCTCATCCAAAACCATTCGACTTCCTCGCTGATCTGGAGGGATTTAGCTTGCTTATCACAGCAAACAGTCAATCCGGATGCTGACCTTGTGCATGGCTGCTCCCTCCCTTGTCTGCTGCTCTCTTGTCCCCTGGGATTTCCCAACAGGAGCTGCAGGTCCTTCCAGGACCCCTTTGCTTTCACCCGATGGCAGCACAGAGTCTCCTGTAGGGGAAGTCCCTCTTGGTGATGCCCTGCTCCACAGTGAAGTGGTTGCTGAAACCTCCGTTGTGCTTTTCTGCTTCCCCAGTCCATGTGGAAGACGCAGCGCAGCACTGTGAAAGGCTACTTCCTAGCTGGAGGCCAGATGGTTTGGTGGCCTGTAAGTATCTCCATCACTACAGCGCTTGTGCCCATCGGCTACAGCAAGACCAAAAGCACTTCTGGCCCAGCAGAACTTAATTCTCCAAATGGGAAACAGGAGTAAAAAGTACTTCCATGTTTTGCATGGATGCAGTTACAAAACTGCCTGGTTTATTTCATATGGGAAACGGGGGGGAGCAGAGCTGCTGCAGCCTGGGCCCCATGCAAGCCTGGTCCTGCATGCTTTGACCTGGAGACATCCAGAATTACCCATCACAGACACAGCTTTATACTGAGGGTCTTCTGCTTGGGCTGGTCAGTCAGTGTGGACTAACAGAGGAACCTCATGACCTGGCATTTCTGCTTGTTACCTCCCACCTTCTGCCCTGCTCCCCTGCACAAGACCAGGCATGATTTTGGCAGCAGGATGGGGCTAAACATGCCCCAGAATGAGCGATAGGCAGTGAATAATGAAAGAAGCTGGATAAAGGTGCCAGAGACACTGAATGTGTAGGGACAAGAAGAAGGTGGCAGTGGGTGACAAGGATTTCACATCCTCCATAGCCACAAGCAGGGGACCAGCATCCCTGTGCTCCCACCCGCCCTGTGCAGGGCCAGCTCTGATTTTCCCTCTTTCTCCAGGTGGGCGCATCCCTGTTTGCCAGCAATGTTGGAAGCGGCCACTTCATCGGCCTGGCTGGGTCAGGAGCCGCCTCGGGAATTGCCGCAACAGCCTATGAGTGGAATGTGAGTGTGGAGCAGCAGCACCGGTGCTGTACAGGGCAACTCCAGCCCCTGCAGGTCCAGCAGCTCCAGAGGCTCGGAGTCCTGCTGCAGGAGCCCAATGGCACCAGGGGCTGCTGGGGTTTGAGGCCTCTGAAGGATAACCCCATCCCCGTGTCCCACAGAGCCAGCAGCTCGCATCCCTGCCCAGCATCCCTCACCTTCCTTCCCATTTGCTCCGCAGGGGATGTTCTCTGTCCTGGTGCTGGCCTGGCTGTTCCTGCCGATTTACATCGCAGCGGGGGTACGTAGGTGGGATGTTGTGCCCAGCAGTGATTTACTGGTATCTGCAGCACCTGCTTGGCTGCTGGGTTTAACATCTGCTGCAGCTGTGGTCCTTCTGCAGGGCCTGGGCTAATGGGGAGGAGAGCTGTCGGGTACCACCTTGCCGATGGCTTGTGTCTCCCACAGGTTACCACCATGCCAGAGTACTTGCAGAAACGTTTTGGAGGCAAAAGAATCCAGATGTTCCTGGCGATTCTCTATTTGTTCATCTACATCTTCACCAAAATATCAGTAAGTAGAAAACACTGGAACCAGGCTGAATTCAGGCTGGAAATGGGATGAATGAGGCTCAGGAATGCAGCTGCTGGCTGCAGAAAAGGGTGTATTAAAATACCTGGGGAAATTAGACTACAGGCACTGTGAGAACCCACACACAAAGAATACCTCCTTTTCCTCCCTTGAGCACCTGAATGCTTGCTGCAGTGGGAGGGAAGCTGGGTGTCAGCATCCTGAGCAGCAGCTCATTGAGGAGTCGGGCTGCGAGCATGGATGTGTCTGTTGTTAGCTTTTATACATCTGGCAGCTCAGATTCTCCCCTTTGCACATTTACTGCCTGCACAGCCACCAACCACTGTCACACGCAGGAGGAGGAGGTGGCTTGTGCTCAGGTGAAGAGTGCTGAGCGATTCACTGCTCCTGCCTGATGCAGGGCCTTGAATAAATAACTGACCCGAGCCTTGCACAACACCTCCCTGCTGTTCATTAACCTGAGGTGGGGCAGGGACCTGTGAAGCCACACAGGTCCCCGTTGGTGTTCTTGCAGGGCTAAAGAGGGATGTGCTGTGTGACCCACGCCTGCTGAAACAGCCACAGGTCAGGGGGTGCAGGTGGCTCTAGGAAAAACCAGCTCTTTAATGGAGATCTCTGATAACTATTCCTGCATCCAGGATGCTCTTTAATGGAGATCTCTGATAACTATTCCTGCATCCAGGATGCTTTTTAATGGAGATCTCTGATAACACTATTCCTGCATCCAGGATGCTCTTTAATGGATATCTCTGATAACACTATTCCTGCATCCAGGATGCTTTCATACCCGTCATTCTGTGGCCTGCAGTCTGCCTATCCCAAACGGCAGCATCTTCACCTGGCTGCAGAGCGAGTTGGTCAGGGCTGGCTCCAGCCCCCAGGACACCTTTCCTCCCTGTTACCCTCCTGTCACCATGTCAGGGAGGAATTTCCATCACAGCAAATGCAGGAGGTGCCACAATGCCCTGGCTCTGGGGCTCCAGGAAGGGATAAGCTCATCCCACCTGAACGCCAGTAGGGAATGGAGCCAGGCCCTGATGTGCAGTGCGCAGGAGCTCGGGTTGCAGAGGGATGTGCTGCATGGAGGGGACACAGCGGGGAGCTGGGGGTCACAAGCAGTTACCAACCACATTGATTCTGCTATAGGAGACAGCTCGGGGAGCTGAATGCTCATGTTCCCCGGCACTACCTGCTTCGAGGGGCACTAGAACGGTGCTGACATCCTTCTCCCTCCAGGTTGACATGTATGCTGGGGCCCTCTTCATCCAGCAAGCCTTACACTGGGACCTCTACATCGCTGTGGTGGGCTTGCTGGCCATCACGGCCGTTTACACCGTTGCAGGTACAGGGCTGAGTTTCAGATCGTACCACAGATCCTGTGTGATGAGTGCACCAGTGCTCAGAGTCCAGCCTTTCCCATGCAAGCTGGGTTTGCCAGGAGTATGGATAACAGGGATGGGGAAAAGCAGCTGACAGCTTGCTTGATAAGCAACTATTACCCGGTAGGAGTAAGTTAATACCCCTCCTAGGGCCACAGGCATAGGGATTCGTGCATGCAGAGCACTTCTGCTTTAAGGAGAAGTTACGCTCGAGGCATTTGCACAATACATTTTCCTCTGGGCTTTCTGGAGGTATGAGTGCTTTACATAACAATGAGCCCTGGAATGTGGACAGCATTGTCAATCCTGGATGCCCTTTCAGGGCTTATGAGGGGCCAAATGGAAAAGAGCCATGCACGGAGCAAGCAGCAAATCCCAAACCCATAAAGGTTTCTCCTTTCCCACTGCTCACCCCTGGTGATGTTGCTCATAAAGACACCCTTTTATTTCGCTTCTCCTTATTCAGCTTGGCTTTGCTCTGGAGTTTTTCCACGTATTTCCCGTACAAGCTCTTGCATTGGACTTTGGCTTTTTTAGTGACAAAGTGGTGACTCATTATGATTCAAACACGAGAAATTTCAGCCCAGCATGCTCCGAGTCCCAGTGTGACCAGTCTGCAGAGCGCAGGATGCTACACATCAGTCCCACTTTCCCAGTTTGGTGCTTCTCTGCCCTCCCAGGTGGCCTGGCCGCAGTGATCTACACGGACGCGCTGCAGACCTTCATCATGCTCATCGGGGCTGTGACTCTCATGGTCTTCAGTGAGTGCTTCCCTGGGGGTTATTCCTAACACTGTGATAGAAGCTTTACCAAGTGCTACAGACAAGGTGGATCATCACAATTACCACACAGGAGTGGCTTTCTCTGTGTTCTCCTGTTGGAATAGATGTTCATGCAATAGTAATTCCTTGTGTGTTAAAGATGCACAAGTTCCCCCTGAAAACCTCTGAAGAAACACATCCAGAAGCAGTGTTATAGGTGAACAAACACCTTCTCTAGGCAGAACCTTTAGCACTGTGCTATTTGCCACCCCATGAGTCTGTAGCTTTGGGTTTTCAAAGCATCACCCACAGCAAAGTACACTTGATGCTACGAGTGATGCTGCACACAGCACTTGTGGAGCATCACCCATAGCAAACAGCAGACTGAAGCTCAGGGTACCCGCCGGGCAGAGGCGGTAACTGCTCCTGCTGACCTGTTCCAGGCTTTGTTGAAGTTGGTGGTCTTGAAGGCTTGCAGACAAAATACTTCGATGCCATTCCCAGCTCCCGCAAGGAGAACAGCAGCTGCGGCTTGCCAAGGAAAGACGCTTTCCACATATTCCGAGACCCTGTTAACTCCGACCTCCCCTGGCCAGGGGTGCTGGTGGGAATGACCATCCCGTCCCTGTGGTACTGGTGCACAGATCAGGTGCGTGCCCGCCTGTTCTCTGCTTCCAAGAGCATGCAGCTGGGTGGGTGGATCTGATCGCAGAGCTCGGGTGTGCCTGGACACAGCCTGGTTTGCTCTTCCTGATGGGGGCTCAGTAAAACCTGATGGTTTCAATCCTAAACTTGATGAACACAACGAAATCTGGGGAATCGTCTCAATGTAAAGAGGGGTCACAGTGGGTTTGGGAGTTAATCCCGACTTGGCTTTTGACTTTAGCCTTTCCCTTGCTGTGAAGCCTGACTACGGGTGGTTAAGGCACAGGCTGTGCAGCACGGTGCACTGCAGAAGCAAGGTCAGGTTTGGTGACACAAGCAGCATCGTTCCGGGCTGGGATTCTGTGAGTTTATCAGGATCTGAAGCAAGAATGACAGAGCTACAGCCAAGCTCAGCGCTCCCCCTTGCTGGATTTCAGTAGTCAGAGGAGAACAAAGTATATGCGATTGGTACTACATCACCTGCACTTGCTCCCCTCTGCTGACAGCACCAAACCCACGCCTTCATTTCTAGGTCATTGTGCAGAGGTCCCTTGCTGCTAAAAACCTCTCCCATGCCAAAGGAGGCTCCCTGATGACCTCCTACCTGAAAATCCTGCCCCTCTTCATGATGGTGATGCCGGGCATGATCAGCAGAATTCTCTTCCCAGGTAAGTGCTGAAGAAGAGATCATAAAATCCCAGAATCCCAGACTGGTTTGGGTTGGAAGGGACCTTAAAGCTTCTCCAGCTCCAACCTCTGCCACGGGCAGGGACCCCTTCCACTGGAGCAGCTTGCTCCAAGCCCCTGTGTCCAACCTGGCCTTGTACACAGCTGCATTGTCTCTATCACTTACTGGCTGTGCCTACTCTATGGAGCAGGACCATCCCTTAGCACTAAGTTAAATATGCATCAAAAGCCCCACATATAAAGACATTTCCTTCCAGCTGTGGCTGGAGAACACACATCCTCTTGCAGCAGACCCCAGGCACGTGTTCCCCCTGCCCTGCTCCGTGTGCTGTCATCCCTGCTCACAGCAGCTGCACTGATGGGGTCTGAGCTTGCTCCCTGCTGCTGCTCCACACTGTGATCAGCCCCCCCTGCACCCAACGCGCTGCTCCTCCTGCAAGTTAAGTTTGGGGCGCTCAGAGACATCCCAGATGTCAGCGAGTGCTCACCAGGTGGGAACGTGCGGATGTGCTTGTCCTGAGGAGCCGTGCTGGGCTGGGGATAGTCCTCAAGCAAGCAGCATTCCTAGGGGAGAATGAGGCAGGCAGGCCATTGCCTCCACTGATGCTATCTTTTGCACGGAAGGAACAAAAGGGAAACCAGGGAAGGCCAGAGCTGCTTTCTCACTGTGTGGAGACAGCCCCGTCCTGTGCTGGAAGCTTCCCAAGCTTGCCGTGTTTCCCTCGGTGATTTACAGCGCCCACTGCACCAACGTGTTCAGCCAAGTCTATGGCAGCTGCAGACTCCTGCCTCTCCCTCCCCTGTGCTCATTTCAGACCTGGTGGCTTGTGCAGATGCAGAAATCTGCCGGAAAGTCTGTGGCAACCCATCGGGCTGCTCCGATATCGCTTATCCCAAGCTGGTCCTAGAGCTGCTGCCTACAGGTAAGGGGCTTGGTGCTGGTGCTGGCACTGATGGGTGCAGTATGGCCCAGCCTAAAGGTGTCTGTGAGAAAGGTTCAGAGAGGAACATACCCCACAGCTATAATTTCAGTGGGGTTTATGTTGGGCTTGGTGGGACAGTGGCAAGGGACAGAGTGCGACGGGAGATGGGTGATGATCCAGCACCCAGAGATCCAATTCAGTCCAACCTGGATAGGAGATAAAGCCCAGGTGTTTAATGATAAGAACCAACGCTAACTCCTCCCTGTCACTGCCATTTAAAACTGGGGCTAAACCCAGTTTTTCAGGTCTGTTCTAGCTGAAAGAAGAATTCGAGGACACCCCAAGGGGGTCACTGGGGACTCCTCAAGGCTGCTGAACCTCTCCTTCTGTCCCCAGGACTCAGGGGCCTGATGATGTCGGTGATGATCGCAGCTCTCATGTCCTCCCTGACTTCCATCTTCAACAGTGCCAGCACCATCTTCACCATGGACCTCTGGAAGCACTTCCGTCCCCGGTGCTCCGAGTGGGAGCTCATGATTGTTGGCAGGTACAGAGAGCTGCAACATGAATGTTATGTCAGAGCCTCAGCACCAGGAACACATCTGGGCACACCTCAGTGCCTGCTGCCCCTGTACAGATGCAGTAGCTTCACACTGACCCCGTTTGGTGGAGTGGAGGCCTCGTGGTTACGAGAGACCTCAGCTAGACTCTTGCATGCTGAGCAACTGGAAAAGCACAGCCTGAGCTAAGCCTAATGGCACCTTTCTCCTGCCCAGGGTCTTTGTGCTGCTGCTCACTGTGGTCTCCATCCTGTGGATCCCCCTGGTTCAGGCTGGCCAGGGAGGGCAGCTCTTCATCTACATCCAGTCCATCAGCTCCTACCTGCAGCCCCCCGTGGCGATGGTGTTCATCCTGGGCTGCTTCTGGAAAAGAGCTAATGAAAAGGTAACGGCCCCGCTGGGCTCGGCACAGTTGTCCCTGTGGCCTCGCTGCCCTCGCAGGAGCCCTTTAGAACTCAACCCCACCTTCTGATGGGGAAAAGGGAGACACCCAGCCCTCCCCCCCACATCCATCTCCGCTACAGGAGGGAGCAGCTCCTGCTGCTTCCCAAGACTCCATCAGCACTTCAGGAGTGAGGTGACTGCAGTGCTCCATTGCAGCGTGGCCTTCACACCTCCTCAAGCCTCTTAGGGGCTTGTTAGCCGTTGGCTTGCTTATTACATGGACTAGGGAAGGCGCAGTGAGCCCAGAGAGTGAAGGAGCCAGACCAAACGCCATCAGGAGTCCTAAGGCTCCAGTTTCTCCATAAAGACTGGGGCTGGGTGAAGGGTACAGTCTTCCCAAACCAGGCTTTGGTTAGGCAGAGAGCAGCCGTCTGCCATGCAGGGTAAGGCAACCATTAGGATATAAACACCAGCCTTGAGAGTCTCCTGGCATATAGGATGTTATCCTTCCCCTCCACAGCAAAACTAATGACCCAGCTGAGCCCACAGGGAGGTACCAGGCTCCTGAAACACCACCAGCAGAGCAGAGAAGGAAGGCAAAGACCCTCTGAAAAGGCAGCCTCAGCTCAGCCTGTATCCCTAGGCATCCTGGATGCATGCTCCTTGCTCCAGTAAAGCAGATCCCTCCTCTCCCAGGGCGCGTTCTGGGGCCTGGTGATTGGGCTGCTGCTGGGCATCATCCGGCTGGTGCTGGACTTCATCTACCCCGAGCCCCAGTGCGGAGAGAGCGACCTGCGCCCGGGCCTGGTGAAGTACATGCACTACCTCTACTTCTCCATGGTCCTGGCCACCATCTCCACGCTGACCGTGCTGGTCGTGAGCCTGCTCACCGAGCCCCCCTCGGAGGAAATGGTGCGTCACCGTCACGGTTCTTGTGTTGTCTGTTAACGCTTTCCTGCATGCCCCACGCTCCATCCACGGATATGGAATCACGGGGGGATAAATAACCCAGTGATGCAAGTTCCCATTCAGTACTATCACACTTGCCATAACCTCTAACAACAACCCCTCCTCTGCTCCAGCACCCTGCTGACACTTAGGTCCCGTAAATCCAGAGTCCCACCTTGGAAACTGGTCAACAGTAGATGCTACCAAGAGCTGTTCTTAAGCTCAAACATGTGTGTTTAACCATGACAAATCAGCTTTTTTCCCTCTCTTTCCCAAGAAATTCCAGCTTCTGGGTCATCTTTATCAACTCTCTTACTAATTTAGTGAGGAAGCCTTTTTACTCACAGGAAAAGAGAACTCAAGGGCAGAAACTTCCCCTGGAACAGGTTTGTGCCAGCTTGACTGCTTTCAGTAGATAGAATGAGGCTACAGAGAACCATCATAGGAGGAAGGAGGGCCAGAAACCAAAGGGCCAACGCATCCTCTTGCTTGGAGACAGCACTAACCTGGCACCTTTCTGCACCTCCTCTGAGAGGGAGAATGCCCATGGAGGCGTGTGGTCAGCTCGAGAGCCCACCTCCCTCCCAGCAGCAGCTTTAACTCATCTCCAACCTGAACCTCTCCAGCTTCCCGTTGTGCTCCTCCTTTCCTTTACCCTATCCTTGACACTGAGAGCTTCCCTCTTTCATGAGTCTTTTATATATTTGAAGAAAACTACCCTAACTCCCGCCTGTCTTCTCCCAGCAACCCCAGTTCTTTTGAATCATTCCTCTCTGGCCACAGTTCCCATTCTCTTTGCTCACTGGCCCGCTCTCAGCCTGCATCCAGTGATGGTGCCGGGCAGAAATGCCTCCTCCTTGCTTAAAGAGAGAACAGCATCCTTCAGAGAGTGGCTGTGCAGCCAACTGTCGTGCTCCAGACCCAACTAAACCCACCACGCTGATGGTAGCTATCACTTCCATATGAGCACTTGGCTGTTCCCCTGCTCCAGCTGAGCAGGAGAACAGGGTTTGGCCCCTCTAAGCATTCTCTCTGCAGGCTCTGCTGCTCAGGCAGCCCTTTAAGCAACCAGAAAGCAGTTTCCTTTAACACCGCTCTTCATGCCATCAGATAAGTCGGCTTACCTGGTTCACACGTGGGGATCCACCAGCCAAGACAGACCTAGCACTCAGCCCTTCCCCTGATGCTGCCAAAGGAGTGTGTGAAGCTGAGCGCCCAGCTCTCCAGCTTGATATAAGCATTGCTCCTGACAATAGTTCAGATGATAATAAATGTAAGTGCTCCAACGTCGTGCCCAGTAACACCTACCCCTTACCCTAGGCACTGTGTAAAGGCTTTGAAGACAAGAACCGTGCAACCCCTTCCTCTGCATTCAGTCATTCAGGGACAGTTTTACCTCAGCAGCAGTTTAGTTCCTCTTCCATCTCTTGCTGCCGTTACATATGCTTGGAATCAAGGAGGAGCTGATGGGATACAGAAAGCCATGCCCGGTGCCCTGCGCTAGCCGCGGGTGCTGCCCGGAGGAGGAGGGTGGAGGCCAAGCAGGGCTCTTTTCATGGCGTTCCATTTCTGTTTTGCAGTGGTGGTTTCTGCTCGCCTCTAGCAGCAGGGAGACCCCAGAGGCCTGGGCGGAGAGCTTGACAGATCAGTGAAGGAGGATGTGCAGTGTTTAAAGCTTGTACTTGTCGGTATTAGGTACAAACACGTGCAGCAACCCGCTGCGCCTCTTCCAGCGCTGGGCACCATCCCTTGGTCCTGCCAGGCTCGGGACACTGTTGGTGCAGCCACAGCTGGTTCCTTGGATCTAGAAACAGCTATTGGGGAGCTCAGTGTGTTACTGAGCCCTGGGCTGGGGAGCCTCACGCCTGTGGGGCACGAGCGCTGCCTCCCCAGCTTTTAGTCGTGCGTGTCCTAACCCACACCATTGCTGGGGAAACCCGCTGTACACGCGTGGAGTAACCCCTCATCGGGTGATGGAGCCGCTGCGCACCGAGCAGCCACAGCTCAGCTTTAGGCTTAGTCTCCTGTTACCGTTTCTTACGATGCTGGGAATTAGAACTGCAGCTCGGTGCTCCAGGGAAGAGGAAAACTGCTCCTGCAGCCCCAAAGGTGTAATGGAAGGGCTCCCTACAGCTCAGAGTAGCTAGTGTATGCGTTTAAACAACACCGGTGCGTTTCAGCATCACACCCCTTTGCGCAGGAGCACTGGGATGCGTTCCGCTGGCGCCACTGACCCCTCACTGCTGGCTGTCTCCCTAGGTCCCACTAACAGCAAAGGGGACTCCAAGCTGCTCACCACCCTCCTGTGGCTCTGCGGGATGGAGCGCAAGCAGCCCAGCACCGAGACCACGGCACCGGCCAAACCCGAGCCGCTCCCCAGGGCTTGCCTAGAGGAGAAGCCGCTGGTGAAGCACGTCCTCAACATCAACCTGCTGCTGTGCGTGTGCGCCGGCATCTTCCTCTGGGCGTACTTCGCGTAGCGCTCGGCTGCTCATGGCAGCGACTGATGTTCATTGGTGTAAATAAGAATAATGAGCAGAGGGTCAATGGAATTCTTAATGCTCCCTAAATGTTCTTCCTTTATTTAAGACAACAGACCGTCCTCTGTAGTCCTTCCCTTATTTCTAATGGGGGCCGGGCTGTGATAGGTGCTGAGTGCTCGGCACCATCACTGTCAGACCTGAACATGCAACACAATGGGTGCAAAGATAAGGGCAGAAAGAGGGGTGTTTGGCTGTTGTAAGTATTGAGTTATGCTCGTTGGGGTCAGAACACTGCCTGGAACTGGGCAGTCTGGATTCTCTTGGTGCTTCTAGAACCAGGTACCACCATGTGGCTCCCCTTTGCTTCCACACCCTTGGGAGGTAACGCCTCCATGTGCCCCAGTGAGGCTCTGTCGGGGCAGGGAGCTGTCACCGGGCACCCACGGGGGATCTGAACCAGCCCAAACACCCCAGCATCGGGCACCCGCACCCATCCTGCCCCTGCTTCAGCCGCGATCGGCTGCCGCGCTGCCCCGGAGCCGCTCCCGCAGCCGCTGCCCCAGCCCCGTCCGCGGGGCGCTGCGCGGCCGCAGGTAACGAACGGTGGCAACGAGCGGGAGCTGCTCGGGCCGCCGGGGCCATGGCGGAGGAGGAAGCGGCGGCGGCGGCGGTGGCTCAGGCCCGGCCGGGCTCGGCGGAGCCGGCTCCGCTGGAGCGGCAGAACCTGCTGGCCGGGAGCCCCGGAGCGGGGGGCGCGGTGCGAACCGGGCCCCGCTCCGCTCCGGGCCGGGTCCCGCTCCACAGGCTCCTGGTGCTGGCCCGCATGGGCCAGGGGGCGGCGGCGCCGGCGGTCGAAGGTGGGTGCCGGGGCTGCGGGGGTCCGAGCACGGCTCCGTGGCAGGGCCCCGGCCCCCATCGCCGTGCCTTGAACACATCCGGTGCTGCGGGGATACAGCCGGGATCACCCGTGCGGTGCTGCGGATGCAGCCCCTAACCCAGCGGCCGTACGGAGCAGTGGGGAGCGGAAGCAGTGCGGTAGGGCACAAAGCAAGGAAATACCGGGTTCTGAAGCCATATAAAGGGAATTGCCACTTGGGAACCCGGCCTTAGCAAAGGACACAGAGCTATGAGAAAGCCTGGGCCACAGGCAGGCTTTATAAACAAAGCCTGATGCTATCTTGCAAACAGGGCTCTATATGAGCCCCTCCAGCAGCCCATGGGTACCCAGTGCTTTATCTGATTCCGGAGGCTCATTAAGGTGGTTTTAAACACCTGCATCAGTGAGTGCCAATGAGCAGAGGGAAGGACTCGGCTGCACAGACCAGGCTTCCACATCCCCGTTAGGGGCTGCGGGTGCTGCAGCTCCAGCATCACCTGTAATGGGGATTTCACACTTCAGCTACTGAAACACTGCAGGTCTGGGGGCAAGTTTAGGAGCTAATGTGAACTGCAGTGTGCTCACGTCAAGAAGAGGGTCCCATGGCAGCGGTGCTTTCGTGTCTCTATGATTTGATGTCTCCCTGCATAGTAAAAGCATGACCTGTGAATGTGTTGTCTGTGGCAGCAGCAAGCACAGAACAGAGCACACAGCACTAATGCCGACCTAGGGCCATAAACCACTTGACAAACTGCCATCTCCTCCTTTAAAACAAGGTTATCACAGAGAACTGCTTGAAAACGTGTTAGAGGACCACGGAGGAGAACCAGTCTCAGGTCTGCTGCTTCTCTACCCCAGCCGCGTGTTCCATGTAGTGGAGGTAAGTTACATGGATTCCCTCTGCGACCAAGTAACCTTGATGCATCTTTATACACGTTTGGCTTCTAGATCAAGGGAGCAACTAACTTACAACTAACCCATCTCTGACTCCATACATAGGCTCAAAGACCAGACTAATGCTGGGGTGGGCTCAGGGATCCTACCTTTGGGGTTCAGGTAACTGGCCCAGAACATTATCCTGATGGAATTAGATGACATGTTCTGTCACAACAGGAACAACCTGCTCTGTCCTCAGGGCCTGTGACTGAAAGGGAAAGCCTGTGTAAGGTAGGTGATGAGCTGTTTTATATTCACAGTAAGTTTGCAATGGGCAATTCCTCTGCAGGGTTGCAGCAGCACAATCCATCTCCTCATCCGAGAGTTAGCATCCCTCCAAAGTCAAGGTCCGAGGTAAGTGTTCCACAGTACTATAGTACCAGAAGTGGGAGAACGCTTCTTTAAGGTTCAGCTGAACATCAGCTAGGGTTGTATCAAGCTTTTCTTCTCCCACTGAATACCTGCTGACCACAGAGGAGCCGAGGTCCTCCCATCCCTTCCTGGATGCAGCTGAGGGGCTGCCAGCAGGTTCCTGCTCTGCCCTCTTGCACTAGAGCCCATCTCTGAGGCACCAAGACTTCATTAATAGCCTTCACAAACCAGGAAAATGCCTTTCTTGGGAATCACTGCCATTTCTGGAGCCTGCTTTGTAAACACTTGGAGATTTATGTACTGGAATGCCAGAAATTATCTTTAGACTATTAGTCACTGCCCTCCAGCCTGCTGTTTGCCCTTTCACAACACGACCCAACCACTCCCACAGAGCTCAGCCAATTCTTGCCTTTAGCTTTGCTGCTCCAGGGGCCTGTCTTAATTCCCCAAAATCCAGGTTCGTGAAAACTGCATCTTTTCCTCCGCTGTGAATGGAATTCCTATTAAAGCACGCTCCTGTATTTGCTTATCAAATCCCTATTGCTTTTATGCTCATTTCTTCCCCTCACATCCACTCAAGACCTTTGGAGGAGTCAGAAGAGGTTTCTGCTGGCTGGCTGGGAAGCGTGCACCGTGCTGTACATGTACCATCCCCCAGCACAGCCCTAGGAATGCAAACAACAACTCACTGCTTAGTTTATGGGACTTGTCCGGCTGATACGAACTCTGTGCTGTGCTTTCGGATGGAATTCTCTCTCTTCCCATGCAGTGCTTTGCTCCAGGATATTAAAGTTTTAGTGGTGGCACATGCCATCCCCACCAGACTGTTCCCAGAATGGGTAGTGGCAGTAGCGACAACTCCCGTGACATGGCCATCAAGGACCATCCAGCCACATTCGACAGCAGAGGTGGTTGCAGGGTGCCTGACCCTGGGGCTCAAGCTGGCAGCCTCCATCCAGAGCTCTGAGGTAAGCTTCAGTTAACTGAGCTGTAAGAATCCACCTGATTCAGCCCCAAATCCCCCCAAACAAGCAGCATTTACAAGCACACACACCTGAGCAGATTGGGGCAGCAGTGTTAAAGCATTACAGAACCTCATTATGTCATCCCAAGTTTCTTTCTAGACCTCTGTGGGGTTATTTCATGCAGCCATTTGATTCACTAATGAATTGCACCAACACAACCAAGTGAAAGTCATTCACTCAGCATTACCTAGCATCATCTCTACCCCTGCTTGCTGCTGGGCACTCCTAGGAGCAGAGGATCAAGCTGTGCTTGGTAAATGGGGAGTAACTCCAGCCCTGGTGCTTTGAACAAATAACTTCAACTGCATCACAGCCCTATGCTGTTATTGTAACTGTATGGAATGTGCTGTTTGTTACCAAGGATGACAGCGAGGATGCGACTGAGAGCATACCCACTGTTGAACAGGAGCTGCTGATCCCAGCAGAGACAATTAACTACTTATATAAAGCTGAGGAGTGTACCTGTCCTGAAGAGTTTCTGAGAACTTACTTAGGTCCTTCACAACCCACCCTGGACTCAGGTACCCTGGGGGCAGTTTGGGATCAGCATCAAATTTAACCACAGAACTAGAAACTTTGCCTCCTAACACTGAATTCTGAGTTACAAGAACTTGGTACTATGCTGGTGCAGAGGGCTTATCTTCCCTCTTACAAGCTGTCTGAACAGGGATCAATGGGGCAGCCACCAAGACTAATACAGGCATCAAGAAGACAGTAACACCATGTGTCTTGTCAAGGCTTGCATGAAATGCAGTTAAGCCTGAGGTCTAGATTAATAATTTCAATAAGATGTATGATGGAATATTAAGGAACTTACAGGTTAAGTAGATTAATCTGAGTAGTTGTATGAATGTTACCTCAACTGACTGGTTTCCTCTCCCTCTGTCATTCACAGAAACAGTGTGGCCTGTTCCATCTTATCTCTCCACATGATACAGGCTGTACCCAGTGTTCCCCTCTGCAGCTGGACTCACTGTTGTTTAACATGAATCTACACGTTAAAGAATACATGCATATTCATTCCCAGTTCCCAGTATGCTTCCATGCCCGTCCTCAGAAGAACAAGACCTGGTGAGCTGCAAAGCCCAGGGCGTGACTGTGTCACCTTCCGCACCCATTGGAAGTGACGTTACTCACAAACACGAATAAAGATGCCTTCAAGTTGACAAAAGACAATCTTTAATTTTATAAATGTTCACCCACGTGAGGAACCCAAAGAGCCATTTCAAAGGTCCCTCCAAATCCAACCATTTCCAAGGAAAGCACAAACCCCACTTCCACAGCTGCATCCTGAAACGGTTGCGAGTTTCACATAAACAAAAGCAGGCTTGGTTAATACAAGTAACTATGACATAAGTAGTAAGTACTGATCGTTAAGTAGCAATGAAATGATTAAAGATACAGTGAGTTTCCTTCTACAGTATGACAGTCCTTCAAGGCACTAAAATACATCCACAGTTTTGACCAGGCGACCGATAACCCGCGGTCGCCACCAGCACTCTGACTTTTTTTGGTTCATGGTTTAAAAGATTCTGCAGCAATCAGTGAGGGAATGTCTCTTGCAAGGCAGCTCCTTGTAATGGCTAAGAACTAGGAATAAAAGTCTAACCGTGACATTAAAAAGATTATTTCCATAGTACATGCACTTTAAATAACTAATGTTCTGCTGCTTCTGGAATCTCTGCCAATACCACCTGCATCAGCAGCAATTACGCTTCCTATGCACGTTTCTGCAGTAACTGGTTCCTTCCATCCAGCATTCTGAAAACCATTGTTGAGACACAGATCATTACACTTCTTCTGACTGGCTAAATCCCCACCCCAGCTCTACACAGTCCTGCCATCGTGTCAAAAGAAGCTTTTCACCGTTGGGTTTTCCCACCAGGAGAGGAACCTGTAAGGGCTTGGGGAGCTTCCACTACAGAGCAGTGCTTTCTGTATCATTGTCAATATCGAGCACGAGGTGGTTGTGCAGCTCTTTGCTCGCTGTCTCCGGGAGAGGCTCTGAAGAAGGGGGTTGCAGTGGTTCTTGGGTACTGGGATTGGAGTCTGCACAAAAAACCAAGAGCAAGTTTAGCAGGCTGGCCAGTGACCTCTCATCACTGCTGCATTGCTGGGGCATTTCCTTAGGAAGAAAAGGGAAAGGAAAGATGAACAAAGGCTTTTCAAACAGAGGGCTGGCACCTGGGTGCACACATGGACACAGAAAGGTTAAGCTAAACTAGAAAGCTCAGGACTTGCTTCTCCTACACACCTTTTCTACTCTGGTACATCATATTCATTCTGAAGAGTGGAAGGCAGCGAGTAGGATTTACTATCAGATTCCTCCATGCCCCTTATGAGTGATACCTCACTCCAGACTTCCACATCAAAACACTATGGTCCCTCAGCAAATAAATTTGGCACCTAAATCCTCAGCTGCATAACCACCACCTACCACCTTGAGAAGGAACAGCAATACGTGTGGTGTCAAAAGGAGGCACTGCCACAACAGGAGGAGGAAATTACTTAAACCCCTTTCCTCTGTGTAACAGGGAACATCTTTGCCTCTTCTGAGGGGAGGGAAAGGCACTAACACCTAACAGCAGTGGGGGTTACCTTGGATTTTCACTTACAAGTACCATTCAAAGGTGTACTCCAGCTTTACACACAGGTATTAAAGTTCTCCCTACCATGACTGAAGAATGAATCAGAAAAGTAGGTAACAAAGGGTGAGGAGACACAGGGGAGGGAATTTGACACATCAGTGCAGCTGTCAAATACAAAATGAACCTCTCTATAAACATGGATTTCTAGATAGGATTTCCTGTACACAGAATAAATACAGTGTGAAACTGGCCAGTGACAACGTGAACATTCTAGTCTCCAACACTTTTAGTACGTTAAGGTAAGAACAAGCATCAAACAGCCATTCCTGGTGCATGCCACGCTAACAGTAATGCAAGCAAGCAGTGTTACTGGGGACAGGTTAGTAGTGAGCGTGAGCACACACGTGATGATTGTGAATTAGCAACATTTGGGGCCAATCATATGCCTTTTCCTTACCATTTAACTTTCCAATACAGTTCCTACTGAATGCAGGTCAAACATCTAGATTATTTAATAAAACTTTTGATTAGAATATTCTTCTCTGGGCCTTAGCACTTTAACACCATAAACAGAACTTGAGGCATTATTAAAGTCCAGCACGTGGACAAAGGAATTGAACAGTATCCTGAAAACCATGCAGAATTCCTGTTCAGGTACTTCTGGCAACTTGATTTTGGCTTCCCTTATTCCCATCTTTTTCAAGGTTAGAATTAAACCCAGCTAATTGTCATTGTGAATTAGGTAAGTCAGTCTATAGTAAGTGCTGGTATGTGCATGTGTAAATGTTAGAGCAGCTACTCATGTAATATGCAGTGGTGTTAATTCAGAACAAATATTAATCCTTTAAAGGTGATCCATCTGGAAAAGGTGTTGATCCTGCACTAGTGTGCTGCTGTAGGGAAGCCTGCTATCACTTCAACTGCTCCCCAAGGAGTTATTTTGCAAAGCACTTGATTTCCTAGGCTCCTGTATCAGCTTTGCTGGAGGATCCTTTGTCAGCATCTCTCCTGTGCGTGTCTGCCTGCACAGCAGCTTTCATTGCTGTGTTTTACTGTACTCAAATTTCATGGCCAGCTTGCCATGGCTGCACTTCAAAGGAGTGATAGGAAGTCTCTCCAGTTTCAGCACTGGTTAATTTCAACACTGTTGATGTCAGTATTTTTCTATGTGCACCCAGTTGTGTGCCTCTGTTTGACCTGTAGCTCAGCTGAAAGGGAGTCAGGGCTAAATCCTAACTCTGGACACAGCCTCAGTTGTGCCCATCATTCCCCCTGGCAGATCCTGGCCTTGTGGAACTTAAACTCCCCCAGCACACCAGCTGGGTGTTGGTCTGAAAGCAGCTGTTTCTCCATTTACACTGGGGGAAACAAACCCTGCTCATCTGCTGGCATTAAAGCAATTTCCTCGGCCAGACAAATTCCCTGATGCTGTCAACCTAGGAAACATGACTTAGAAATTAGGGTCCTTTCCTTGAAGTTTGACTCATCAGCACAGTTTCCAGTCTTAACTTACAAGTGCTGTAAAAAGCCAGAACCCAGCCTTATTTCTGAGTTCAGCTGGGCAATAAATTGCCCATAAACTGTGTTTTAAAGACACTGCCAAAGGAACTTCAATCAGGGTAAGATCTATTTTAAACAGCAAACCCACTTTTCAGCTGCTCAAGCAGCAAACTTACTGCCAGCTTCTCCAAATCGAAAACTACTTTCAACTTGACTCTCAATCCTAATTTGTCCCCTTCCTGTAAGCACTCAGATCTTGAGATAACTCAGGAGTGCAGCCTCCACTCTTTGAGCCTGTCATGCAGCTGGTACCTTAGAAAGGCATCATCCATTGCAAATGAATAGGAAGATTATTAATGTGCTGTTTGGCAGCTGTGACTGAGCAGACTGGTGCTATTAGTGAGGCTGGAGCTGACAGGATGCACACATGCCAGAAGGCAGATGCTGCTGGGTGCTCTTCTGCAAAGGGGTTTATTCACAAGAACATGTATTTTTGCCAAATAAGTTCCAAGTAGCTCCAAATAGCTGAAAACCTGAAGTGAAAACTACATTCAACTGCAGTCATAAACCACTGGATTGGAGAAAAACCCACCAGCTTTGGTATTTGCCTGCACTGATGAGAATAAAGCTCTTTTAAAAGGTCACTGCTTCACTTGTGGACACGTACTTCCTCTGTGAAGTGTTACTCCCTAAATTATAGATATTTTCACAACTTAAGGACTACCTTTATGTTCACAGGACTATTAAAATGAAGCAGCTCAGGTCTTAAAATCCCTTCTGAACAGAATGGTATGTAGTAATGAGGTAACACAGAGTTGACAGCACATATTCCAAAGCACATATACAAAATAAAGCTACAAAGAAAAGTATTGCTGTGCAGGAGCAATCGAGCTTGCATTGCATGGTTCTGTAAGTACAAACCTTATTCGCAGTAACCAGCCCCACCTGTGAAGGCATCAGGGGGTAAAGCTGTTAGGCAACAGAATTTATACTTGGCATTCCAATACATTAGTCCTAGTCTAGAGAAGCTGCAGGGCCATTGGAAAGTTTAAACCATTATTAAATGTAAGGTGATTTAAAAGCATTAGTCTCCTACATTTATCATCTCTTCCTTTAGTATTTCCTATAATAAGCAGAGACTCAGCAGAATATGAGATCTACTTTTAACTGTCCTCAGTAGCTACTTCTTTCCCCACCAAGACTTAAATTAACGTTAACCCTATCAAACCAGCAACTAAAAGCTTCATGAAGGTCCTGTGAATAGGAGTTTCTCTTTGTGAATGTCTCACCAAAAGAAAGCTGCATTTAAATTATGAAGATCTACAAATTAAGCCAAGACACAGAATTCAGTGTATGTGATTCCTCAGCTTCTGGATGTCCAGCCTAAAGCCCATCAGAAGACTTTGCCCTCACAAAGTAAAACATGTGCTGTGTTAATATCTTGTCTATTAGAACGTGTATCAGTGACCACTTGAGCCATTTTCTTATCTTCTGTATGTGCTGTCCTTGTGTATCCTTGGCTACATCCTCTCCCTCGTCCAAATATTTGCTTTTTGGCAACAGCTGTATAAGCATAGTTGAGCCTGCCACGATGCTGAGCCTGGAGAAAGCCCCAGAGAGCTTGTTGCTATAATAGTGCTCTGCTTCCAAAGCAGGAAGGAAAATAAAGCAAGCTGATCCACGCTTTCCCCCAGACCCTTCTGCACAGAATGGGTGGTGGGCATTTTAACTGGAAACGAGTAACTTAGTGTTTTAACTGTTACTTGTGCCTCCCAGTCCCTCCCCCTGAGATTTACAGCTACAGGCATCATTTCCTACATTTCTGCTCCCTGAGGTGGCACTGAACATGGAAGAATCCACTCACCTGTTACAATTTTGGAAGCTGTTTGGGTGGGATTTGCAATAATACCATCTCCAGCCAGCTGAGAAGGAGGATGAGGCGGAGGGGGGACACTGGGTCTGTTTCTGGGTTTCGGTACTGGCCGTGGCCTCGGCAGTGTACCACTCTGAGGTAGAGAGTGAGACTGGGAGGTTTCTG